ACTGAGGCTAAATTTGCCTTTAGAAACATGGAAAACCACGAAATAATTATTTTTTTAGAAACCGTATTTATTTTCTACTTAATGATTCAATGACATAATAAATTAAAAAAAGTCTTTCGAATTAATTTATAACAAAAAGTATTATAAATAATAAATAAATAAATATTTCCGACACTCACACCAATTAGCCTAGCCCCAAAGTAAGCACTATAAGGCTTGTGTTATGGGATGCTAGGGTAACGGATAGAATTCATATACTGTACATATATATAAATACATATTAAACATCCATGACTGGAGTACAAATGCTCGTATTCATCACACAAACATCTACCCCCACCGGGATTCGAACCCGGGACCTCTCGAGTCGGCGACAGCCATGAAACCCGGCGGCCACTCGGCCACGGCGATCGTCATAAAAATGTGATGCATAGTTTTTCCTAACTCTCTTATTAATATAAATTCTGATAATATCAAAATATATCTAAAAGTCTATCTATATAACCTGTTTATTTAAAGCATTCTATTGAAAGCTGTTCTATTTAGCATACAGAACACGCCCTAATACCGTGAATTTATCGAGTCATACACGAAATCAAACTTCGTAATCAAAGTCAATAACTTGTTAAACTGCTGAAAGAAACACAATACCTACTCATACATAGCCGAAAACCAACCATGCACCTTTCACAGCCCGAACTCGATGACTCACTAAGTAAACGGAAAAGAAATATGTAAGTCAAGTCACCCAACAATACCCATACCCGTGTGGATGACCAAGCGATATTTTCCTACAAGAGAAAATTCGAAAATTTCATACAATGAAGAATGTACACGCCCGTATATGACTGCGTGGAAACTCCATACCTAACACATAATTTATAGTAAAATGTGAAACTCAAGGAAAGGGACTTCCCATGAACAAACGACAATGGTGTTTTAAAGTAAAAAAAATTGACATACACATTCAACAATTTATTAATAGTTGAAATGATTTTCCTTATTATCTTTGACGTGGGTAAAAATAGCACATAGGTATGATGCAAAAATGTGCAATCATAGTTCATCTAAAAGAACTTTTGATATTTAAGGAAAATTGTGTAGATTTCTTGCTTAAGTTTTCACGCAGACCACTCAATAAATAAATAAAGTTTCAACGGTATAGTTTACACTGATTTATTTATTTAAATAAATTGTTTGTTATAAATTGTTTTATTTAAAACTAGCGGCCCGCCCTCGCTTCGCTTCGGTGTACAACTGAAGTGTAGACTACAGTTTTTGTTCTCAGGCTTGTATTATACACAATGCCTTTCATCTATGATTCTTCTTGTACCTGCATGCAAAGTCTCAGCCCGATCGGTTTGAAATTGACAAAGTTTCATACAAACTTTCATTCCCTATTTTATCCTTTCTTAGTGAATTCCTACGTCATAACATCTACCTGCATGCCAAATTTCAGCCCGATCCGTCCAGTGGTTTGGGCTGTGCGTTGATAGATCACTATGTCAGTCAGTCACCTTTGAGTTTTATATATATAGATTGTGCAGGTATAAATGATACAAGAATGAATCAGAAGAAGTTATAATAAGGGAATAGCGTAGTATGTGCAAGTTTCACGGCTGATGTGCAAGTAGTTACAAATCAATAAACTGGGGATAATTTTAGCCACCACTTGCTTTAACATTTCTTTTTCCTTGACTAGTGTTCAAAACATTTTTTTGGTAACAGCATCTTAGATTAAAACAAAAAGGGTAGATAAGGTACGCTCATACTTGCATCAAACAAAAACTGATCCCACGGCAGCGCGAACGGGACGGCGAGATCCGCGTCACTGCATTACCGACCCGAGCGAAACAGCACGTTAAGTTTCAACGGCAGCGCGAACGAGACGGCGAGATCCGCGTCACTGCACTACCGCGACCAGTACTCGACGTCACTACCGAGTAAGATTCAAAACAAACAGCAATTTTTATGAAAAAATATATTTTATAGTACTTACGAATGAAAAGTGATGCCGTGGGTTTTATTTTTAGTTCTTGAGCAATTTGAGCACTTTTTAAAAACACACTTAGGCATTTTTTTATCATATAAACACAAAATATTAGCAATATTTCTTTTTGGCGTTCACATCTACGTCGTTTGCATGTCAAGTTGTGACTAAAGCGATTAGGGTCGTGGACCACAATTCATGCGGATCATTTTTGTGAGGCTAGTGCCGTATCTACCCTTTTTGTTTTAATCTAAGAATTGCATATCCTAAACTAACAAATTCAGGTGTAGTCACGGATGTAAAATGTTATAATTAATTGTCAAATATTGCACCTACATAAATAGGTATGTGTCATAATCATGAATGCACCTGGTACGAGTGTATGTGGGTAGTTATCATTTCTAAAAGCTATCAATAAGTTTTATTGATTACAACACTTGCGCAATTATTGTTTAAATTTTTTAAATACAGAAATTGTGTGTATTAAGCAGTAATTTATTGAAGTTATACTTCTTTAGCCGCGTTATGAAAAAATGATGAGAGTGAAATTTTAAGATGCGCGCGCAACACTGTAACAGAAAAGTAACACCATGAAGTCGGCCTCTAAACCGCACATTACTCGTAAGTCTCGAAAAAAAGCTTCCAACAAAATAGTAATAGGATCTCTTAGTCGCACATGTTGGGACGCTCGTCGCCTCTGATCACTGTTTTCATATTTATAATATTTATCCACATGTTTCTAGTTTCTATATTCTTAACACGTGTTATAATGTTATACAAATGCGAAATTTTATTCAGAAGTGATTTAAATTGAATATTTTGATTATTTATTAAATTTTTCAAATTAAAACTGAACTTTATTGACTGCGTTGACTATCCTTTTCCAATCCTTTTATTATCTTATTGTAATTAATTATCTGCATGCAATTAAAAACTATATTTTAATAATTCCAAAAAGAAGTATAACTTCTCACGCGCGTACTTAAGTACACGCACCCATATTTTTTTTTATTTAAAGGAAAGCCAAAACAAATATTTTATTTACCTAGTTGGATTCCTATCTATTTCTCAAAAGCTTATTAATAAGAATCTGACATATTTAATTTTATCTCTATTACTGATAAAAAAAATGATTGACCTTTGAATCAAAACCAAATAAATGATAAATATCGATATATTAAAAGTGAAATTTCTCACACGATAACGATTTTCAAATAAGTTGGTACAATAAAATGTGAATAATTTAACTGTAGGTGCTCGATGGCGCAAGTGGTTAGCGCGTTCGGCTGCGGTCGTTGAAGTTAAGCAACTTTCGCAGTGGTCGGTCATTGGATGGGTGACCAAAAATTTACTACCTCGAGCTCCTCCGTGCTTTGGAAGGCACGTTAAGCCGTTTGTCCCGGCTGCATCTGCAGTCGTTAGCACCCACCAATCCGCACTGGGCTTGTGTGGGCCTAACTCCTTATTCCATCCATAGGGAAAGCCTGTGCCCCAGCAATGGGGACATTAATATGCTGATGATAATGATGACGAATTTAACTGTAGAGTAGGTGTCTTAGAATGCGGAAGTAATACCATCCGCGGTACAAAACATGCGCGTGCCCTCTAAAAGGGCGCCAATATAAATAATTAACAAAACTGATTGATTGAAGAGCCATAAATTATTGTGTAATCGCAAAATCGATTGTATCAACCGAATTCTTCCGTTATCGCACACGATAAACTTAAGTAAATGAGGCGCCTAGCCTGCGCAAGCGACGCGCGGCTCGTGTCCAATGCGAATTAGATCATCATTCCAATAAAATGATTAAATATTCCGTTATCGCAAAAAAAATTACAACGTCATGATAGTACCGTAAATTCTTTGGTTGCATTTGTCATTAATCTCAAACAAGGATAACTGATATTCTAAAGATCATTGAAATGAAACGAAATGAAATGAAATTTATTTATTCACACAAAACAGAGTATATAATAAATAAATAAAAATAAATAAATATTTCCGACACTCACACCAATTAGCCTAGCCCCAAAGTAAGCACTATAAGGCTTGTGTTATGGGATGCTAGGGTAACGGATAGAATACATATACTGTACATATATAAGTATATTTATATAAAAACATATTTAACATCCATGACTGGAATACAAATGCTCGTATTTATCACACAAACATCTGCCCCCACCGGGATTCGAACCCGGGACCTCTCGAGTCGGCGACAGCCATGAAACCCGGCGTACAAACCACTCGGCCACGGAGGTCGTCAAATACATTTTGGTGGTGATTTTCATTTAGTTCGTCCATTTTTCCAACGACAGACAGGGCATGTGAATGTCGAACTTAATTTAATTGTAAAATTTAAAGGTACTTATGTCATTTTACTTATACTATTCTATGTCAATTTTCGTTTCTAAATATTCTCTAACTGAGTAAAAACATTTCGTTATTAGCCACATTTTAAGCTTCCTTTTAAATATAGGCAAACTAAGCTCCGTTATCAAGCGTGGTAACTTATTATAGATTTTTATACAATTCGGATAGCAGTTTTTATTGTAATATTGAGTACGCATATTGGGCAAGATCAATCTACCACGATGTCTCGCTAATCTGCAGGTATCTGTGTTTTTAAATTTAAAATTATAAGGATGTGTCTAAACAAATATGCAACTTTCCAAAATATAAATAGAGGGAAGTGTAAGTAATTTTAATTTGGGAAATAGGTGCCTGCATGATGTCATTTCTTGTCATTAAACGGCACGGGTACTTTTAGTGTTTTTATAGAGAATACAATTGTAAGCTTAATGCAATACGTAAGCCGATTGAAACATTACAGAAAAGGGCTAAACTGTACTTCCAGGGCCCAAGTGGTGATACTTCACACTAGGTTAGGTTAGTGTTGTGACCATAACGCGCAGTTACAGCGCCAGAAAAAAAATCTGTTAAAAAATACCTTTTCTACAAAAAAAAAAACAAATATCACCTTTTGGGTACTGGAAGTACAGATTTACCCAGAAAAGTTCGATCGAAATCAAGATGACGAGAAAGCTTATCGTTTTCCTGTTCAATGGGACGGTTGATCCGAGAGAGATGCGCTTGACAATGACGTAGAGATCGCGCCGGATTGAATCATGCGCTCGCAGCCAGGTATCGGCGACCTCGACGTCACATTGCGAAATCCGCGGGGAGCCCGCGAAGGCCGCCGCTCGCTCTGTCATCCCGATGCCGGTTCGGTGCCGGCAGGTTACGTAGGCTATCAGCTGATGGGCAAATATGTAACGTCGGCGTGACGTCACGACCACGCCTGCCGCCTTTATTAACCACGCGCGAGTCGACAACCACCAGATACGGACAGACCGCCCAAGGAGTAACACGTGCCCGCCAATTGGATTGCGCGCTCCGATAAAAGTTTTCGTGTTAAAGTGTTTATTGTTTTGAAGTGAAACTTGAGAGAGATAATTTTTTTTTTTTGTTTGTTTGGTGAAAGATTATTTTTGTTTTAACGTTGATGATGGCCAAGTTTCTGTTGGTCGTCGTGATGTTTGTGGTTGTGGATGGTGCCCATAAACACCACCCCAAGTTCCCGAAGGGCTCGGAGGAGTACGACGCCCCGGTTATTAAGAAAGGTGAATGTCCTTATAAGAAACGATACAAAAAAAATAGATGTATATAAAAAAAACTGAGTTCGGCGGAGATAAAAAAGAGTTTTTCTTTAATTTATTAATTAGTTGCTATTGCCACTTAAGACTTTTAATATTTATACTAAGAGTTTTAGTTTCAAACATTGAATCAGTAATATTAATTTTTGATGATTGCTCTTATTATTTTATCGTTTAAAATGAAATAACACTAATTATTTTATATAAAACTAGTTTTTACGGGTTAATGCACGAAACTTTATTTATTTATTGACGTTTCGCAGCCTTTTCAGGTCTGCATCGTCAGAATAATAAAGCAGACCTGAAAAGGCTGCGAAACGTCAATAAATAAATAAAGTTTCGTGCATTAACCCGTAAAAACTAGTTTTATTTAATGAGTGATGTGCGTGAAAACCTAAGAAACTAATTATTTTATTATATAAATACGAAAATTCAGCTATTTCTGTTAATTTAGTGCTCATATTAGACAATTTTACTTATGTACGCGTTTTGTCTCCAGTGGCATGCAGTAGTGAAAATGACAGATTGCGCAATGAAATCATAGAAAAGTCAAGATGCGGACCTCCCAAAGAAGTGTTCGTGTACTTAGAACCCCAAGCTGCTCATGAGCAGGTAATTATTGCAAAAAACCATTAGAATTGTAAACTTCGTTAAAAAATGAGTGAAATTACAGAACTGTTAAGACGTCATTATTTATAACAAGTTTACGAAGCCGTTAATATTGGAAAATTTGTTTGTTAAAAACTCTACTTAATACATAATTATCTTATGACCTCATATTGGCTGCGTGTCTATTAATTACTTCACGACCCAGTCTGTGTTCATTAGCTTATTAATAAGTTTACATATTTCCCCAAGTATTTGGTAATGAAATTAAAAAAAACACCAATTTCATCATACGATTTACATAATTATCAGTCACTGTTCACTCGATGATGTATCTCTTTCACAAGTAGGCTGGCTGGGCTGTGACTCACTGAATGTGACATTACACTTGCTAATTAACATGCTAAATGAGAGCAAATTTTTTAAATTCAATAGTCATTTTAAAAGTTTTAATGATATCAGCATGAATCTTTACACATTTCTTGGTCGACAACTTTAAACTTTTTATACAAATACAAATACAAATTAAATACAAATTCTTTATTTGATACAATAATTTCCGATACAGTATTGCGATTGGGAATTTCTTTTAAGTAAATATATACTTGTATTAGATATTCCCGCTCTCCGTGCTAAAAGACATAGTACATTGAATTATTGATCACCTTAATATTTTAATAAGAATGATATAAAATCTAAAAAATAGCAAAAAAAATTTTTTTTTTTTACAATATTTCTTTTAGTCGATTTGTTTGTCTGTGCTTATGCATGCTTGTATGTGGGTGTATGAGTGTGTGAGTGTACGTGTACGTGTGTGTGCGCGTGTATTTGTGTCTGAACAAAGAGTGTATTGTTGAAAGTGGTTCTACTGAGATACCTATATAACACCAAAATGCAAAAGATAATGATGTTTATTTATTTAATTTTAATTTTAATTTTACCAAGTTCCGTTTAGCTACCTATCAAAATGTTTGAAGACTTGTTTAGAATTGTATTAAGTAGTTTGGTGGTCGAGCCGTGATCTGCGGCCGTCGCAGTCATTAAGTTTGGCGTGCGAAAATCCGCTTGAGATTGTTTAGTGACGCGCGTGTGTTTTCCCCACAGGTGAGTCCTGGCGCTGTTTGGGTAAAGCGCTGCGTCGGCTTGTGCGACTGGGAGACAGACGGGTCCAAATGCATCCCCACAAGAACCGTCATCAGGCATATACCTGTAAGTATTCTCGGCATTATCATTACCAAGACTTTCTGAAGCTTTGTATACTTGTTTAAATCTAAAGAAAATAGAAAAAAATCCACGCGGACCAGGCAGCAGACGGGACTCGAACCCGCACCCTTCGCAATCCGGGCGAATGCACTGACCAATTATGCTACGGCGGCCCTCACGGACCGCGTCGAAATTCTTCTAGCCATTCTTAAGCTGCAAGGCAGTGCCATCTCTTCGCATTATAGGTAACCCACAATGTCAAATGAATACTTTTACAAGTATTAAACATTTGAAAGAAGAAATAGCAATTCTAGTTATAATTTTATCTAGTCATATTTTCTTTAGATTTAAACATCAAGCAGTTGTAACATGCTTTAAAATAATAAAATTATAAATTTGTATACTTGTGTTTAAGTCTGTTTCCAAACGATATAATCAAAAAGAATTGATTGTTACGATCCTATTTAGAACTTCACTATTTGCTTTAACAATGAACTAGGTAAGGACAATCCTAATTGTCTGGAAAGTCCTTGGCACGGTTTGGAACCGTATTTACTCCACTTAATGATAATAATGACATAACGAATTATAAACTCCCATTGTGATGATTCTGGAATGTTTTGATTGGGTTGTTTGATCAGGTGCATTCTCCCGTTTGTTGATAGAAAATCACATAAATGAGCTAGACTCTCATGCACATTTCCTATTATTTAACCCCTTATTGTAAATCGCTGGGAAAAGCATATCAGGAAAGGAGAAACACACATCAGTGCAAAATCTATTGATAGAAAAGACAGGTGTACTTTTTGGGACACATTATGGCACTTTCAGAATTTTTGTTATTTAGAATGTCAAATTAGCTGTCTATCTTTTTGTTATTTAGAATGTCAAATTAGCTGTCTTTCTTTTTGTTATTTAGAATGTCAAATTAGCTGGCTTTCTTTTTGTTATTTAGAATGTCAAATTAGCTGTCTATCTTTTTGTTATTTAGAATGTCAAATTTGCTATCTGTCTTTTTGTTATTTAGAATGTCAAATTAGCTGTCTTTCTTTTTGTTATTTAGAATGTCAAATTAGCTGTCTATCTTTTTGTTATTTAGAATGTCAAATTAGCTGTCTATCTTTTTGTTATTTAGAATGTGAAAATAGCTGGAGATAGTCGTACTCTTTTGCTACTCTATCAACAGAAACTGGACGAGAAACTATGTGAGTAACTAACTTAATGGTTTTCTTTAACAGATCCGAATATACAACGTGAAGACGGATAAGGAGACGTGCTCCACGTATCCTGTAGAGGAGCACGTAAGCTGCGGCTGCTGTTCAGCAACCCACTCCGATTGCGGAGAGAATAGAGTGTTCAATCCTCGTAAGTGCTCCTGCCAATGTACCAACACTGAAGAGAGACGCAGTTGCCTCCGACAGGTTCGTAGATGATGGATGTCGTTTAATCGCTAGGACTACGTGGTTGTGGCACGTTACGCACGAGTTACCAGTTTTCTGTGGGCATGCATTAACTTTCCTCTTATTTAGAGACTAAAATACCAATCTTACTTTTGGTTTGGTTGTCGATCCTTAATTAAATAGATAAGACTAGCAAACCAGTGAACCAAATGTTCACCAAAATCTGATTTCTCGAAAACGGGAAGTGCTACGTTACTCAAATCCGGTTTGTAGTCTTATCAGACTATTCTTAACTTATAACTTAAATATTCTCTTTATCTATCTCTTACGGTTTGGCCGCTGAAACAGCACCACAGACAGACGGACTTGTCTAAAAGATAAGAGATTTTATGTTCTTAACAATAACAACAATAGATAGAACCATAGTGGAGTTTTAAGGAAATAGAGTATGAGGAAAATCAAAAATGATGTTTTAAGAAAGACGGATCTGTAAAGGGTCAGTGAAAGTTCAAAGATATGAAATATTTTTAATCGTATTGTCTGCGATGTTAGCATGCACTTAAGTGGATGCAATATCTTTTCAGTTCATTGACCGTTAGATGCAAAGGTTAATTCTGTTTTTTTTTATAAATTTGTTATTAAGACTTTCCTTATTTCCCACCTGGTAACCCAAGCACGCATGCCTGTCGGACGAGCGTCAGCACTTTTCTTCCGCTGCTTTACACTCGCTTCCAACCCACTGTTGTGTCTCACTCCCCACACGGCTCATAATGTGTCACTCTCTATATTAGACTTCGCTGGTTCGGTGCAACCCACGCGTCTATCTCTGGCGCTTATCTCGCTGGTACTTTCGTTGACGCCTTGTTGACATCCATTATCTTCAAACCTTTCGCTTTTATTATGTGCTACAGAATGATTGTTTGCCAATTTTACTTTTGTAACAGTTTTAGCAATGTGCGTTTTCGTTTTGTTACAGCGGAGCCAGAATATGAGGTGGAATCGATCTAAGTGCGCCTGTGAACCTCGCAGGAGGCAGAAATGAACTCGGTCCATACAAACTGTTGGTTTTGATTAACCACTGAGATGCTCCGGTGGTATAACAGGACGAGTGTACAACGAAGACAAAGGAAATTATGGATTTCCTGAGATTTGTGTTGTGAAAGTTTTATAGACCGTACGTGCTTTTGGATAAAGTTGACTGACTCAAGTGTCTTATAGTCATATAAGCTTAGGTATTAACTGAATCAAACAGTATTACTGTAGCGTAAGTTAGGACTAAGTTATTTATTCACTGAATAGTTAGGTAAAAAAATGGGGCCAAAAGGATTGCTAGGTACTTTAATTCCACGACTTTTTGGTGTATATTTGTTTTTAATTTGTAAATAGGCACAATTACTGAAATTATCGAATTCTCCATAGGTTTAGTAGATTTGTTTGGTATTAATGGGAGATGAACGCATGCAAGGACATCACTGATCAGTATTTTTAATATTAAACTTTGTACGGTTAGATTTATGTGCGTAAATCTAGATTTACGTAATTCCTAAAATGTGATATAGGTTGTTATTCCATTTTCTTGTAATTAGTTGTAAATTAAGCATTTAAAAACTAGATCAATTTATAGAGTAAATTATGATTGTTGCTAGTCAAGAAGATACTTAAATTATTTTAAATTTTGTCTCGATTGTACGTGTAAGCTCTCTTTTTGTAATAATAACGAATAAATATTGTGAATGACTACATTAAATTATGCTCACAGTTCTGATGTTTTAAAGTGAAGTAGCTAATTGCTTGTACTATGTTTGTATTATATTCGACAATATGTTTTGCTATGGGCCTAGTCTATGATTGTGCCAAAGGCATATCGAATCTCATAGGTTTTCGTATTTATTTTGTATTTTAACTAATTTATATTGTTAATGTAAGAAGCTTATGAAGCTTTAAGTGATTTGATCACGAGTTTAGTTTTAATATTTTGTAATTTATTTTTTTAATCTGATTAGAGTCAGTATTCAATGAAGAATATGATGATAAATTAAATTTGTACTTAATTTTTTAAATGCTCATTTTTATTTTGACAACCCAATAACTTCAATTTGAGTCGAGGTCGAATAACGTACATGAGATTTAATTTTAATGTAAGAAATTAATGAAACTTCTATCCAACGAGTTATCGAAACATTTTTTATTTAATAAAACTAGTTTTTACGGGTTAATGCACGAAACTTAATTTATTTATTGACGTTTCGTAGCCTTTACAGGCTACGTCGTCAGAATCAAACTTTTATTTAATTTGTCGAGCTACCTTCGAAAGACTTTTAAACTAAAAGTCTTTCGAAGGTAGGTTTTAAACTAAAAGTCTTTCGAAGGTAGCTCGACAAAATAAATAAAAGTTTGATTCCGACGACGCAGCCTGTAAAGGCTACGAAACGTCAATAAATAAATAAAGTTTCGTGCATTAACCCGTAAAAACTAGTTTTATTTAATGAGTGATGTGCGTGAAAACCTATGAAGCAATTTTTTTATTTATTTCGAAGCTTTGAAGCGTTAATTGTGAATATCTGTTATGCGCAAATTAATAACGATGACATATCATAGTAATATTCAATTAAAATTCCAATTTTCTGAACGGTTTTCGTTCAACACGTTTTAGTCATGTGAATAAATTCATTAACGACTGTGATTGCCATAATCAGCACATTGCCGTATCATGAATTAAAGCACATTGAAAATACATATATCAAATACGTACATAGATAATGCTAACCGTGACAGCGCGGTACCTAGTCAGCATTATCTTTATCAAACTTGTAGATTAAAATATGCTTAGTTCATTAAAAGAAGCATCTACATAGTGAATCCCAGAGCGGTCACGTAATTTTTGTCGGATAATAAAGTAAAAGATTAAATAGCGTATTAGAAACGTGTATCGTACGTGCATTCTAGAATATTGCATCCGGTCACGTGTGCAGACCTTTCTTTTAGATATAATCATAATCATTTATTCAGTTTATAGTAAAGTCAATCTGTAGGTTGCGTGGTGAAATAAAAACCTAAAGGTAAGTCTTGTTTTTTCTTATTACTTACCGTTTTCAACTGTAAGTAATTTAAAAAAATTGTTTATACAAAAGTTGTTGGTAATTATGTACGGAACATCTTTTCTACTTAAAGTTTTCCATTAAAATTATATTTTCAAGGTGAAAAAGGGAAAAAACACTCTTTTGGGACTTTAGCGCCACCTACAATGCGCATTTTTTGTTGTACGAGATTGCAACAATGACATAAATTGTAGTACTCAACGCCCTCTACAATTATGGTCGAAAAAAAAGTTTCTAAAATGCATACAAAACAAGAAAAATGCGTTTTAAATTTTTTTTTAAAGTTTTTCTTGAGTTTTTCAAAAAACGCCTACGAGTTGAACATGCCCATCGCCAAGGTGGCTTACTGACGTCATTTGGCAACAGAAAAGCAAGACTTACCCTTTAGGTTTTTTTTTTCGACAGATTGACTGTACTATTAGGCTGTTACAAGCACATATGAATGTCTAGAAGCTACGCCATCGGTTCGTAAATCTACGGCGGGAGATCTTGTACTGAAAATAACCGGCAAGAAACTCAGCAAGGGCTGTTTTTTTCTCCCCGTTTTATCATTTACAGAGTCGTCAAGTTGAAAAATGACTTCAGAGATGATTCATGAAGTCACCTTTCATAACATAATGTGAAATTAATTATACATTAATTGTTCACCTGCATTTTGATTGCTGTGTCACACAGTATAAATACAAATAGAGTTATTTATGTAATTAAACATTTACATCTTAAATATCAAAGTAGTTGGGGCAGACTCATCTCCGCTGGCAGCACCCGTTCACGAGCATGACGCATGAACGAGCCATCGCTTCGCTCAACCATATTTTAGGGAACGTAACGACCCGCCTCACACGACACCACCGAAGAGACTTTTAAGAGAGCATGACTACCCATAACCACCTATATCAACAACAACATATTTACTTAAACTTAAAGTCATTTATCTGTAGGACACTGCAAACAATTACAAAGCAAAAACAATGGAGAAATCATGACCACGCCGTTTTGTCATTCAAATCTTCTTAAATAGTCTGATATTCTTCCTTACGTAATCAGCTTTAAATACAGCTTTTCAATAGAAGTATCATCAACACATGATTCATAATATATATCATATAGAAATACCCGTTGGGATGGTTGGAATGGAGATATATTTCGGTATATTACGGTACAGTACGACCGCAGACCGAGTGAGGCAAAATATATATTAAAGTATAGCTCCCGTCTGTGATAGTTTGCTATAATATAATATACTAGCAAACCAGTGAACCAAATGTTCACCAATTAAAAAAAAAATGTATTTAATTAATTGAGAACTTCGGAGATTTTGTGTGGTTTCGTTTGAAATTCGTGATTTCTCGAAAACCGGAAGTGCTACGTTACTCAAATCCGGTTTGTATTCTTATCAGACTATTCTTAACTTATAACTTAAACATTCTCTTTATCTATCTCTTACGGTTTGGCCGCTGAAACAGCACCACAGACGGACGGACGGACGGACTTGTCTAATAGATAAGAGATATTTCGATATATTAATATATATTATAGCTACGTCTGTGACGGGCTTTACGAAGCGCAGAAAATTACCCTACCACACCTGAAGTGTATGTAAGTTAAGTGTATGAGCCGGAGTAGTACCTAGTGTTTTAGTGGGCCAATGGGCCAATACGACCCGGCCAAGGGAGAGAAGGGTGGGGAATCGCGCGAGTGACGTGTGGCGGCGTTTTGTATCGGCGCATTAAGTGGCCGGTGCGCGCCACAAGAAGCGAGCAACGACGATTTGTAGCGTGTGGCGGCCACCGGCGTGTGGCGAGTCCATATAAAATGTATGAAAACTACATGAAATATGCCGGTGGCGGCGTTTTGTGGTTGTGGTCAGTGGCCCGTGTGCGGCGACACTTAGTCGGCCGCTGTCGCGCGCTTCAGCCACTTTAGTAGCCGCTTCTAGCTTCTCGTGGCGGCGTTTGTGGCTGTGGCGTGTGGCCCGTGTCTCTAATTCTGGTGAACGAAATTGGCCGCTGCCACCACATTGAATAATTCTTCGGAATACTGTCCATCGTAAAGACGGCGGCGCAACAACGCACAAAGCAAAATTATTATTTCGAAATTCTAGAATGCATATGATTTCACCATGGGAATCACCTGGGAATATCTTAATGGCCGTACCATTACTTATTTTATCCTATCGCAATAGATTGTCAAACTAGGTATTTGATAATCATATGATATCGCGATAATAGTCATAACGTTATCTAAATAACTTTACATTGTTTTGTACGAGTACCGATTTATATTAACTGTTCTTTGTTGTGCTAGTTTTTTTTTGAGGACATAAATAAAATAAAATATTTCCAACGCTCACACCAATTAGCCTAGCCCCAAAGCACGGTAATATTATCTATACAGTATTGTGACTTGGCCCTGTCCTTGAAATAAATGCCTACGGCCAAGCGCTGCGTTACACGCGGTAGGGCCGCCCGCCTACAGTATTTTAATTTCATCTACATAATTGAGTTTCTTTCTAGTTTTGTGATTGTAAATATTTTATTTTATATGTAAAGATTCCCCGCAAGCTCATATACCCATATCGTAGAAATGCATTAAAAATAACTATTCCGCCATGTTGGATTTAGAATGGCGTCACACAGCTTACCGTGTATATACAAAATTTCAGCTCAACCGGTTGAAAATATCTGCTTCAAAATTGAGTTGTCAGATACCTACCTATATTGTAAGTCAATTAAAAGCTTGTAAAAAACCTGACTGCTGATTTTTATTCTTACATAATTCAATAAAAGAATATTATTTTAAACATACAAGTTATATTCGTTTGTAAGTCATGGCGCAGTCGGGTTAAAAGGAAATTACCTACAATGTAGGTAAATCTTACTAGGTAGGTACTGTAGAGATCGTTTCATGCAAACTAATTATTGTCATTGAACCACTTTTATTTTCAAGAAATTACATTATTATTATCCATAAACAAAATACTTTTTTATGTTTTTATTTATTTTTTAAGCATTCAAATTGCTAGATGTTTAAATCTAAAGAAAAGTTTACTAGAAAAAAATCCACGCAGACCAGGCAGCGGATGGGACTCGAACCCGCACCTTTCGCAATCCGAGCGAATGCACTGACCATTATGCTACCACGGCCCTATTCGCCGCGTCGAAATTTTCCCAGCCTTAAGCTGTCTTGCAGCGCCAGTCGAGTCCCGTCCGCTGCCAGGTCCGCGTGGATTTTTTTCTAGTAAACTTTTCTTTAGATTTAAACATCTAGCAGTTAAATGCTTAAAAAATAAATAAAAACATAACTATAATTGCTATTTCTTCTTTCAAATGTTTAATACTTGAAAAAGTATTCATTTGACATTGTGGGTTACCTACAATGCGAAGAGATGGCGCTGCCTTGCAGCTTAAGGCTGGGAAAATTTCGACGCGGCGAATAGGGCCGTGGTAGCATAATGGTCAGTGCATTCGCCCGGATTGCGAAAGGTGCGGGTTCGAGTCCCGTCCGCTGCCTGGTCCGCGTGGATTTTTTTCTAGTAAACTTTTCTTTAGATTTAAATACTTTTTTTTAAACTCCGCACAAATCTCCCTATTTTATTATTTTCCAGCTATCAATTCCTGTCAACAATCCGTCTCTTTTCCTAATTACCTAATAAGCTGCCAGTATACACCAAAAATATCCGATCACTACAATACCTACAATTTATTATTCTCGTAAATTATTTCATAATGACATTTCATTTAATTCAATAATGTATGTGGTTAAGTAAGTAGATAGCCTAGTCCAAACCAAAAACAGCACAATATCGTCGTTTGTTCTTTGCCATATTAAATTATGTAGGTATCTACTTAATTCAATCAAATATTTACAATACAAATCGCACGTTTAAGCACGGCTAACTGCATAAAAACAATAGGAATGATGACTATTTTTTTTCTTCGTTTATCAGGTAGATTATC